GTCAAATGTTTTCAGTCATGGCAATAATAGAATTGTTGCATTTTCTAATCCATTACATACTCCTATGTTGTGTAGAAAGTCGATTCTGATCAAAATTAAATATTTTATTAATTTTAAAGTTTGATCAAAATTTGGGTAAATGTCCCTGTACATGGTCTCAGGCCAAATTTTTCAAAAAATGTATACTTCATTTTAATAATTTCTGATGCACATACATGTACTTATGTTGTATAAAAGTATGAGGTGATTCCATTTAAAAATAGATTTAAAAAAATTTTTTTAAATTGCTCTAAAATAGGGTAGAAGTCCCTGTACTATCTAGTATACAATCTCTGGCAAAATTCTGCCAAAGTAAAAAAAGGAGAAAAAATCCCTTTTTATAATTTTTTTTGATGCAAATTATACATATCCTTATGTTGTGTAGAAAGTTTGAGCTGATTCCAATCAAAAATTGGAATTCTAACAGTTACTCCACATGCTATATGGTTTGTCAGCTCATATGAAGCATGCTTTTAGCTCACTTAAAATACTTTGTGAAAAACCCAGTAACTTTCCAGTGTCACTATGTAACTTATTATAATATAACTTTTACATCTGCATGAAGATGTTGTATAAGTTAAAACAAAATAACAATAAAACCTGCAATCATGACATCACATGATAGATAGAATATCAAAATTTAAAAAGGTCATCAATCACTTACATTATAGGCTCCGTAGTATCAAAAGTACGTGGTAGCATCAAGCTCTAAGATACCTTCTACTAGCTCTTTGATTCAAATCCTGCTCTTAATTTTGACAAATTTTCATTTTACAGTCTCCAAGAGTGAATTGGACCTAAATGGTACCAATGCTCTGCAACCATCCTTCTGTTATCAAGCTCCTCCAAATACTCTTCTTAGATCTTCCAGAGAAATAAACAAGAATTGGAAAAACAGCCTGTCTGGATATTACACTATTGGAGGTAAAAAAGGTCCTGTGTATGTTTACTGTCACGTGGAGGAGCTGTGTGGATCAGGAGATGGATGGACAAGACTAGCACATCTGGATATGTCTGACTTTACAGAGAGCTGTCCTTCTGGGTTTAAACTGTACCTGTCAAAAGGAATCAGAGCTTGTGGTAGAGCAGCAATGACCGGAGGCGGCTGCACATCAGTTAAATTTCCATCACATGGTATCAGTTACTCTCAAGTGTGTGGCAGAGTAGTGGGATATCAATATGGATCAACTGATGCTTTTTATCCCTATGATGGTAGTCCTAACAGTCACAATGATATCAATTCATATTATGTAGATGGTGTCAGTATTACACATGGGTCTCCTCGTCAACATGTCTGGACACTAATGGCTGGACTGCATGAAGCTACAACTGTCTTTGGTAATGGCAACTACATCTGTCCTTCATCTGAGGGTAGTCGTCAAGACCTTCAACCATTCATTCCAAAGAAGGAATACTTTTGTGAACCTGGTAATCCTGCTACTGATATGCTTTACACATCAGATTCATTATGGGATGGTAAACTTGAAGTTAAGAATTGTACAGAATCCAGGCTCTCTTGGTTCAACAAAGTGCTTAGCAGTGTCGTTACTGACTACCCTGAGCTCAGGGTGTGTGGAGATGAAGGAACAGCTACTGAAAATGTTTCTGTTAGCTTTTATGAGTTATATGTAAAATGAACTTTGCCCATAGAACAGAACTTATAATAAAGTTACCTGTGCTGTGCATTTAGGGTTTAATAATTTCTCAAAAGATGTTGATGTATGATGTAGTAGAATCTAGCCATGATTTTATCTGATCTAAACTTAAATCTACCTCAATCATAACATTATTGTTTGAAAAGTGAGATCATTAGATTGGTTTATCTTATATGTCTAGTTTCCAAAAATTAATGGATCAAAGTAGACTAGATCTGGTTATGGATATAACTTTTAATTTGTTGCATGCTCATAACAAAAGTTATCCTGTATAGGTCATTAAATGATTAAAATAAACCAATTATTGGGAATCCCTTGCTAGTATTATAGATAATGTCTTCCTTACAACAAAAGTGCAAGGCTATAAAGTTGATGTCAGTTATGAAGAAATAAAACGTCTAAGCTTTTGCTGAGTCAAGAACATGGAACTTGGAAACAAGAAGTATAAGGACATTATCTTGAACATTGAACATTAACTACAAGACTTGAATAAAAAATTGATGTGCAGCATGGCTTTACTAATAGTTGCTGATAAATCTAATAATAGCTGGGCCAGAGCTTTACTACTGAGACAAAACTGAAAGTAAAAGAGAGTTATAAAAAATAACTGAGTTTTGATTAATGATAACTGGCTAGTTTTTATAACAATTAGATCTAAATGAAAAGCATTATTAAGTGTAGAACAACAATGTTATATTTTTAAGCTAACATCTTCTAATGTACATGCACATACATTACATGTACATATGTATTGCATGTACATACTTATAGATTTTAGGTTCATACAGTAGATTTATACATAATAAATAATCAGTTGATAAATCAATTGATCTATATTTGGTAAAGAAAACACAGGATTTTGTTGGAACTAGATAATTACAATTTTAATAAGTGGGCAGTATTAATTCAAATTCAGTTACTTTATACTGATTAAAAATAAGATTTAATCAAGTGATCAAAGTGTTTGTTTATTTCTATATAGATCACATCAAAACTTTCAGAATTTTTATCAACTTCCCAAGATGGTGTGGCAAGCCTAGTTTGTCCACTATATTTGGTAAAGAAAACATTGGAACTAGATAATTGCAATTTTGTTAAGTGGGCAGCAATAATATGTCTATACTATTACTTTGTACTGATTAATGCTCATAATTATAATACTAAGATTTATGTCAATAACAATCAAGTGATCAAGTGTTTGTTTATATATAGATCACATCAAAACTTTCAGAATCTTTATCAACTCTCCAAGATTGTATGGCGAGCCTAGTTTGTCCATTGATCACTATGATTCTCCTGCTGTGTATTCTTCTTCATGGTGTATCGTCTCTTAGTATCAGGATTGATGGGGATAATGGAATTGATTCAACTGAGTGTCTTACAGAACAACCACAGTCTTCCTGTCAGTCATTGAAGTATGTAGCTGATACTATTAACAACACTGGTAACCTCACAATAGAGATCATCAGTCCTACTCTTAGTCTACAAGGTAGTATTATATTCACTGATATTAATGGACTAACTATCAATGGACAAGGTACTAGCATTAGCTGTAATAATGGATCAATGCTCTATGGTAATTCTGGTATAGTTTTTGATACATGCAGTAATGTTAAGCTCAATAGTTTTACCATTGAGCACTGTGGGTTGCTTTATGA